CAGGAATCAACAGATATGGAAGTTTCAAGGAACAGTATATAGTCCAGATATTACAAGTCAGGTGAAGACTTACGCAGGTATCTAAGGGACAAGTCCACTCAGTTGTTATAGTCCTCACATGGAGATGGTCCAAAGTCATCACCATGGGATGGCAACTCCACGTGAAGGTCCTAAAGTTTGACCGTTATTTACCATGTGGTTCAATAAAATTTTGAGGCAAGAGTCAGAAGGCAGCAGTGCATAAAAATGTTCTTTAAAATGTCTGTACCAGACAGATTTCTGTTTCCTGTATTACATTTATTTCCCACCACTTTTCCAATGCAGGCTTCTTCCAAGCCTAGATTCCTCAGCATCCAAGCATTGACCAGAACTGCATAGCTCCAGCAAAGCATTTGCCTTGTGTGTCTACAGAAACACAACCAATCATCCCCAGAATCTGTGGCAACGTGAACAACAAGTGTTGTCATTTAAGGAAGCCTGAAAGGGTTTTGCAGGAGAAAATCAATCTCTATAAGACTGAAAACTGACAGAGAGAAGCTTCTCCACTGATCACTACACTTAAACCCATCTCTTATCTCAATGTCTTTCCTTGAAATTACCCATAAATTCATTTCCTAAGGAAAAGAGACACCAAATTTACTTGTTCATTCTAGGTAAAATTTCAGTGGGAACTTGAATGTCTTGTTGTTGTTGTTGTTGTTGTTGTTGTTGTTGTTGTTGTTTTTAAAAAATTCTGATTTTTAATTCTGAGTGCCTCACCTTTCATCTTGAAGTGTTGCCTACTCTTTTGGAGAGAATGATGTGGTGCCCTGATCATCTTGGCTTCTAAGTTGCTCAGGGAAGCTACACAAGTAGAGGAATACATCTTTTCATTATGTATTTTGTGGGGTTTTTTATTATACCGGCTGGAGAGGTGGCGCGCGGCTATGGCAGCAGCCTCTTTAGCCGCGCGCCACCTCACCAGCCGGGAGAGGGTGCGCAGGGCTAAAGAAGCCATAGCCCCAGGCATCCCCGCCTTTCCGCTGCTCCCTGACCTGCTCTTTGGGGCTGGCGGGGGCTTACCCCCACCAGCCCCAAAGAGCAGGTCGAAAGGAACCTGAAGCCTGGAGAGCAAGAGGGGTTGGTGCGCACCGACCCCTCTCGCTCTCCAGGTTTCCAAGGTAACCGCCTGAAGGCGACTGAACGCACCTTGAATGGCACCTTGTTTTAGAGGGGGAGAACAAGGGGAAAAAAATTCTCCCCTCTTCAGCGAAGAGGCAGGAGGCACTGGGCAGAGAGGTGGAGATTTTATTTTCCTTGTTCTCCCCCTCTAAAACAAGGTGCGTCCTATGGTCCGGTGCGTCCTATAGAGCGAGAAATACAGTAATTTTATGTTGTGAACCATCCTGAGAGGTACAGATAATGGGCAGTATATAAATTGAAGAAGAAGAAAAGAGGAGGAAGAAGAAGAAGAAGAAGAAGAAGAAGAAGAAGAAGAAGAAGAAGAAGAAGAAGTGGAGGAGGAGGAGGAGGAGGAGGAGGAGGAGGAGGAGGAACCAATGATGAAGAAGCAAACATCAGGGATGCAGATAAGGGTGAGGGCCCATGGTTCCATTTGCACTGTCAGGTGAATCTGGGGTGTCTGGAGGGGGATAACATTAACCTGTAAAAGCTATCTGTGGCACTTCAGATTTTCATGGGGAGAGGTCCATGTTTGACTGCATGCTCACCAAAACCAAACTTCCCTGCCCAAAGAAAAATAGTGCGTTGTCAATAAGGCCCAGGTGAAGTGCTCCCCCAGATACCCTCGCTTTTTAGTGCAAGCTTCTACTACAGCGATGCAGTCCAGGCAAGGTTCTTGATTCTGCTGAATGTATATATTTGCTGTGTCAAAAAAACAGGGCGGGTGCAACCGAGAGAATCAGAGGAATGTAAGAAAATCAAACTTGCACTAACTCTGCTGATTTTTAGTCACAAGAGGGATGGTAATACTCATATGGAAAACAGTCAGGAAGCAAACTGGTCAAGGACCAAACTCCCCCCCCCCCCCGCCGCCCCTGACAAAAAGAAATATTTTCATAAAAGAGGGTTGGCCTCTCCTGGCTGATGCCTGATCCTGAGCTGAGCCAAACTGTTAGTTCAGGTGGCAAGTGGAATCAGCTAGAACTCTGTTTGACGTTTGCTCTGCACCCTCTGCTACGGTTTGCCGTATCATTTTCCCTCCAACGCATTTGGGCTGTTGACAGTAAGAAAAACTAGGAAAGAGAATTTGGAGAATTACAGGGACAGAGAGAAGAAAAGAAGGTTGTTAAATGACCTCCCGTTGGCATCACTTGCTAAATAACTAGCAAGCATGAAATGCTACAAGATTTACAATGTTCGGAAAACCTGCTATGTAATCAGCAATGATTCATATTGTAGAAAAATAGAAACAGAGAATGAATTTGGGCTGGGCGAAGAGGAGGCTTGTTCAAGAAAAACACACAAACAGGGAAACATTTTTCTCAACTGAGACAAGCCAATTACACTGAGAAGATCAGGGGAACATCTAAGTGGAGACACAGACAAGATATTAACTGAGACCGGATCAAGAGCAACACCAAAATTAGTCAAAAAGGAGAAATCAACAACTTACGGAGAACTGGAAGTGCAAATGGTCTAAAAAAATTATAGCAGCCGCAAAAGCAGCTGGAATGGAGAAAAGTGGGAGGTCTCTTTCTCCTCTATCTCACCTTCTGACACATCAAAGGGTATAAAAAGAAAGGTGAGTCAGAGAGACAGAGACAGTGCTAAATTATCCTTTCAAAACAGAGGACTTGCAATCAAATGAATCAGAAGCCTTGCGCAGATGGTCATGTTTATGGAGTGTAGGCATGGATATTGGCAGGTAGGGAGTGGGGGACATATCAGGGCTGGACCTCCAGGGTTTTCCCCTCCACATGTTCTAGGGCTCATGGGCAAATTGGCTGATACAGAATCGATGCACATTTTGCATAGAATAGGAAGTTGTGCACATGGGGTCTTAAGCATGTGGTGCTAGGTGGCTAGAGACTACAGTCAGAAGTCACTATAGGCCGGGCAGAGAAAATTCACCAGTCTTTTGATTGATTCTTCTACCCTACACATATCTGTATGCAATTTTTGCGTAATGTACACACAGAGAGTGATTTTTTGCATGTTCTTTTCACCTGTATATAAATGCTAATGCCCACTTTACATTTTATATGCATTTTTGTGCACGCTACTTGGCTGAGAATGGCACCACACCATTTGGAGAAGGGCGAATCCTGAAGGATGCTTGTGTTTCGATTTGTGTGCTCTTTCGGAAAGTGTGACTGCGATAGGTTTGCCTTTAAATGTGAACTGAACTGGCTTCTCCTCCATCCGTAATTGTAACTTGGAAATCCAGAGTGAGGGGACTGAGAGTCAGTTGGTGGGAAGGGAAGTGGCTCCTAAATTTCGCACCCTGATCTGCATTAACGAAACATTTTTATTTTATTTTTTAGATGCAGGCAGAACACAGCATCCCTTGGTTATTTGCGAGACTAAATTTTGGATGTGAATATTGTTGTCCACTGATGTAAACAATGATCATGAACCATTCTTATGGCTGGTTTGATCAGCTTCACTAACTCTTGAACGAACGTAAGCAAAGAGAAGAGAAAAAGACATGAGCATCATGTTGTGCGCTGGAACGCTTTGCCAGTGGCGCTTTATTTTCAGTGGGATCCACATTCCCATGGAAGAGGAGGCCACAAGTGGCTCCCCAAAACCAATGAGCTTGCCCCCCTCCCCCCATTGCTGGACTCCTGTCATTGACATATACTTTTTTCCAGAGAATAATAATAATTTATTATTTATACCCTGTCCATCTGGCTGAGTTTCCCCAGCCACTCTGGGCGGCTTCCAATCAAGTGTTAAAAACAATACAGCATTAAATATTAAAAATTTCCCTAAACAGGGCTGCCTTCAGATGTCTTTTAAAGAGAAGATAGCTGCTTATTTCCTTCACATCTGAAGGGAGGGCGTTCCACAGGGTGGGCGCCACTACCGAGAAGGCCCTCTGTCTGGTTCCCTGTAACCTCACTTTTCGCAATGAGGGAACCTCCAGAAGGCCCTCAAAGCTGGATCTCAGTGTCCGGGCTGAACGATGGGGGTGGAGACGCTCCTTAGAAATATACATTGCCTTCTCCATGCCACCCCCTACACAATCCCAGCCAGCGGTACAGAAATTGGTCGTCTTCCACATACCAGCCCATATAGTTCATGTTATTTTGCACAACAGCTGTTTGGGGAGCCTGAAAGAATCTTAAGAAATTCTTCTTCCAGAGCTCAGCTCCAAAGAGGAAAATATGCATTTGCATCGAAAGCAGCAAAGCCAGCTCAAAGTCAGCCCCGAAGAACAGGCAGGTTTTCAGTCGTTTCCATTGGCTGTGGTCTCTTAAGTAGTACCAGAGGGCAGACAAGTGATGCTCAGTGAGCAACTGAGAGGCTGAGCAGTGCGCTTGCTCCATTTGGCACCATGCTGGCTGGCTGTCCACTTCCAGGCTACGTTAGCAGGAGTTTCTCTCTGACACAAAGTGCCACATATTTAGTCATAGCTGCAATTTCAGAGTGCTCTTCCACAGCACATGTACTTTGCGACATTGTTTACTTGAGAGACGAAGCCCGCTGAACAGAACATTAAAAATATGCCTGCTTCTGTGTAAAAGAATGCTAAGAAATGCCTCAAGGAAGTGAATTTCATCTCTGGCAATGAGACATGAAAGAAAATGTATTGCACAGCAAATTAGTTTGTTGTGCTTAATATGCTACCAGATGCTTAGGAACTTTAAACAAAGAAGGACTTTCTTCCTTTCTGGGTAGTTCCAACACTCTCAATAAAGCAGCTTTTGGTTTTTGCTGAGGTTGTTGTTGTTGTTTTTACACAGCCGAGTCAACAAATCCAGCGTCATACCATCCCTAGGAAACTTGAATGCACACACAATAATAAGTTTGATGGGATACAATATTGACATCTGGGATAGCTCAGTCAGTAGAACATGAGGCTCTTATTCTCAAGGTCATGGGTTTGAGCCCCACGTTCATCACAATAGTCCTGCATTGCAGGGGTTGGACTAGATGGCCCTTGGGGTCCCTTCCAACTCTACAAATTCTACGATCCTGTCCCTGATTACTTCCCATTTTAAATAGCTACATCTGTACCTATCCTTTCATGTAGTAACTCCCCACCTGCCCACTCCTGTACTTTACCAATTATTTATTTTATTAAAAATAAATAAAAAATACTTCAAGTATTAGGGATAAATTTAGATTACTGATCAGGGTCCTGGACAGTGAATAGCAGGTACCCATCATAGCAGCAGGTGGCGATGCAGTCTAAACCACCGAGCCTCTTCGGCTTGCCGGTCGGAAGGTCAGCAGTTTGAATCCCCGTAACGGGGTGAGCTCCCGTTGCTCTGTCCCAGCTCCTGCCAACCTAACAGTTCGAAAGCACACCAGTGCAAGTAGATAAATAGGTACTGCTGAGATGGGAAGGTAAACAGTGTTTCTGTGTGCTCTGGTTTCCGCCATGGTGTTCCATTGCGCCAGAGGTGGTTTAGTCATGCTGGCCACTTGACCCAGAAAGCTGTGGATAAACGCCAGCTCCCTTGGCCTGAAAAGCGAAATGAGGGCCGCAACCCCATAGTCACCTTTGACTGGACTTAACCATCCGGGGTCCTTTACCTTTTACATATCTCTTATATCTCTTACCAGCCTGGAGGCTGGAGGCTTGTTTCAAGCAATTAAAGCTTGAAGCCATATAAAATCCTTTGTCCAGAAGCTATGGGGCAACATGAACATGTTTAGGATGGACAAGGAAAGTTATTCAGTTCCCCTGTTAACCATGCAACATTTGCATCCAGGAGACTGTCTCCCAATCAGTGAATTTAGAATGGATTTGGGGTGTCTGTGTGTGTAGTGGTTAGAGTGTTGGACTCGGACTTGGGAGACGAAGGTTCAAATATCCCCCCAGCCATAAAGCTCAGTGGGCGGCCTTGGACCAGGCACTGCCTCCTCTCAGACTGACCTACCTCACAGGGTTGTTGTGGGGATTAAATGAAGGGGGGAACCATGTGCACCATGTTGAGCGTCTTGGAGAAGAAGATGGAATAGAAATGGAACAAGGTAAAGGTACCCCTGACCGTTAAGTCCAGTCACGGACGACTCTGGGGTTGTGGCGCTCATCTCACCTTACTGGCTGAGGGAGCCGACGTTTGTCCACAGACAGCTTCCGGATCATGTGGCCAGCATGACTAAGCCACTTCTGGCGAACCAGAGCAGCACACGGAAACGCCATTTACCTTCCCGCCAGAGTGGTACCTATTTATCTACTTGCACTTTGATGTACTTTTGAGCTGCTAGGTTGGCAGGAGCTGGGACCAAACAATGGGAGCTCACCCCGTCACGGGGATTCGAACCATCAACCTTCCCATCGGCAAGCCCTAGGCTCTGTGGTTTAGACCACAGCGCCACCCACGTCCAAATGCAACAAATAAATGGCAATGTCTACATCCTTACTAGATATGTCACACACACACACACAAATATAAATAAATCAAAAGAAGGCCATCATAAAAGCAGGAACTTCTGACTGAGTGCACCTGAGTAGTCAGACACCTTGGTGGCCTGCCATCTTCTTCCCCTGCCTGATGAGAAGCCTGAACTGACCCAAGACAGGGACTCCACATTCCCCCAAAGGAGGACAAAATGTCCCAGCACACCTGTGACATTAATCATGTCCACTCCTGCCAAGGTGAAAGGGTTGTGAGTCACACCATGTTCCCACCCGGCAGGCTGGGACACGCATTCCCTTGGGTGTCCTGAATAGGTGTGTGATGCTCCACCAAGGAAGTGGGGCAATCCTTTGCTCCCATCGGCTCCCTCTTCTCCTGCCCCAGAGAAGTCTAGGGACCTTGCAGCCGGCTGGTGGGGAGAGGCGGTGATGGAAAGTGCTCTGGGTTTTGTTTTGTTTGTGCACAAAGCACTGATCCTTTTTACATACAGGCATCCACACACCCCTTTCAAGGGTGAACAAAATGATGTGTTTTTGTTTTTTTTCATTTCCAAGGTAAGCTTTGGAACTAAGTCACAATGTGTTTAATGAGGCTTTGTCCAAAGTAACGGGGAACGGCCTGAGCCTTTGAAATAGCTGTCAACTGTACACAAATGCAGAGCTTTTAACAACTCAATATCTAGAGGTTTTCCTTGCACTAAGCATAACTCTTTTCTTCCCATTACTGACATATTCATTACCATATCTTTAAAAAAGCCAGCCACTATTTACTTACGATGTTCTGAAACAATTTATACCAAAAGGGGTCAAATTTAATGGCCACATCTAAAGAAAATATCATAAATAGAGACAGTAAAAACAAAACAGAACCGCAAGATTTAAGACACATACGCTCATAATTTAATGTTTGACAAAGCAAAGCATTATTCCAGGGCATGAGGTGCTGATGCCTCAGAGACAATCTCTGCCGACTCACGGAAACGCAGCCAAAGATTAGAAAAGCAGAGTTTGCGAGACAATCAGGAAATAAGCAGTTTGGCAACAGCTGTCTCAGAAAAACGGAAGACGGGCATATACAAAAGAAAAAGAGGGGGGAAAGATAGCAACAGAAACTGTCAACATGAGGAAAGGGATGAATGGAGAATTTAAAGCATCCTGGAAGGAAAATATATCTGTTGGAAGCCGCCCAGAGTGGCATGATACAATAATAATAATAATAATAATAATAATAATAATAATAATACGTTATTTGTCCAGGCATATAAAATAAGCCAAACTGGAAAACACGACACCTACCGTCCCAGGCCTGGGATATGGAATCCTCCCATCGTATTGCACCCAGCGGTGGTCCACACTCTCCTTGTGGGCATAATGTCCATTGAAAACCGCTCGGATATCGGCCATGCTGTACACACAAACAGCAGAGCCCTTGAATACAGAGCTGCAAAAACAGAAGCAAGTCGTGAGTGCAGCGTATTCAGCTCAGAACCTGAAAACGACCGGTGATTTCAAGATCAATTTACGTATCAAACTTTCAAAGCGAATAATTCCTTCTTCTTTTTTGCATGATAACAACAAATCCCCCCATAAGTACATCAGGGACTTTTTGGTGGGTGAAAATCACATGCTCCATCATTTGCATATAATAGGAAATGAACCAGATCAAACTGGTCAAATTCAATATATTCAACGATATTTACAAAGTTTCGAAAAATCACCACTGCTTTCAAAGACAATCTAGATACACATGTGAAAGACTTTCCTGTTTGCTTTTACTGAAAAGGGAGGCAGAATCTTGAAGAACAAACTAAGTTTTCTTCCATCCTCCCCAAACCTCTGCAACATGCAGTACATTTGTGGCAGGAAGAACATAAGGTTCCTTGATAGATAAATTGACATGGCAAGGCTTCCCAGAGGGTAGGAAGCTACAAATCATTAACTGAAAAGTATTATAGTGCAGAATCCACTGACTGTCTCTGATTATCATGATTATCATGACTGTATCTGATTATCTGATTATCACTGACTGATTATCATGTATAGTGGACTTCATAATTAGAATTATAAAATTGAAACAAGGCTCAGGAACTAGCAGGCCCTGGGCTAAATCTACCTGTTTCCATTCCCTATTGCCAATTCTAAAGAGAAAAGAGGGGCAGGGATGAAATGCCTGTGGAAAACCTCCATTTCGCACCAAGTCTTTTGTCAAAGTCCCTCAAAAATAGTTGCTGATCAGTGGTTTGAAGTAATAATCTACCAAGCACAGTTCCCATTGAAGTTGGAATCCATCTTATACGAGTTTATGAGAGGGTAATGGTTAGTGGGCTCTGCTGAAGGCCTGACATACTGGCTTGTAACCCTTGCAGAGTTTTGTTTAAACCTTGAAGAACAGAAGGGATTCCATGCTAAATGGAACGCTGGGCTTGGATGTCAGCCATATGTTATGTTTGTATCTTGCCTTCCCCGCAAGAGCTCAAAAGTGCATTTTCACCTCAAAGCATGACGGTGAGATCTGTCAGGCAAAGAGAACGTGTTTTGGCCAAGCCTAATAGCTGGATCTTGGACTTGAACCTTGATCTCCCACATCTGAGCCCAGCGCTTCATCTGCCACACCAACTGGCTCTCACTGGGGGGCACTGAGAAAACCACAATTTCCCTGCCTGCGCTTACCTCCTAAGGTGGTTGTAAAAAGGCAAAATAATATTTACTGTAATCCAATCTGAGGCCTAGTATTGCTTTATAAACCAGCCATAGACGCTCCATTTTAGTTTGTGCACAGGTTTGGTTTCCAGAAGTAAAGCGTACCTGGTGGTAGTGAAGACACCATAAACCATAGGATTTCTTTCATCTCTCGTAGAAAGTAAGAACACGTCTTCTGCAATGGAGAATATGTTGCTTTTAAAGTTAAGTATGTAGGTATTTTCTTACTTAAATGCATTTTTCAAATTTGCAAACTTTTGGCTAACCCCTGAAAATAAAGCAATGGCTCTCACTTTTTTGTTTCTTTTGCTGCTTAGGCATATAATTTACTATTTCCCAGACCCTAATTATTAGTATGCCTCACTAATACACTCCAAACCCATAACTGCAAATGCTGTACATGTGGTAAGCCTCTGTGCCTGCCCCTCACTGCATACAGAATATAACATGTGGCAAGATGTTGCACATGGATGCGCAATTCCTGCAATATCCCCTTGTCAAAAAGGAGAGTATGGGAGCAAGTAGCTACATGCAGAGTGTATCTCTTGTGGTACCCTACATTACACAAATGTTGGGCAGTGCATGTGCGGGCCCATGGCCACGTGTCCAGACACAGGCTGTGTCAACCAGTATGCAAAAGCAGAACAAAAACAAAACAAAACCCTGAAATAAAAGCTATTAAATCTGTAAATATCAGTCCGTGTCTGAAGTCCTGAAAGGGCTCCATGCTTATGCTTGTACCGGCACAGGCACCCAGCTTAAGCCATTTAAGCCACTGTTACTCTGTGTGATGGAATGTTGTGTTTCAGAGTTATTTTATACTCCAGCTCATTC